TTTGGGCCCAACACCAACGCTGGCAATACCGCAAGAGGCCACAGTTACCATGGGCCCCGAACTATACAGTAGAGTTTGTGAGCCACGACGTCGCGCTCTTCGTGACTGTGTTAATTTTACGAACTTTGCTTTTTGAATTAAATGTCACTTTGACGTCGGTATTTAATTTAATAGTATTGTTATCTTATCGTGTGATCCGTATGTTTTTAGTATAAAAGATTTAGTTGTCCCGTAGCAACGTAAGGGCACGCTACCTAGTGGTCTATATTTATTAGTGGGATTGGATTCCACCACCATCAGATAGATTTGTTTTCAGATTCTTTTAATGAACTCTGGAAGATAGATTAGTTAATTATAGATATAGGTTAGGCACACTTTTTGGCTGGTGGTAGTATGTTTTAGAGATTTTTGGTGAGATACCGGGTCATGTTTATTAATTGCATGTCCTCGTGATGAATTCATTGGTTTTCAAGGTCGGTTGTCTAGAGGTTAATATTTAACAACATGTTATTATAATACCTGTTTTTTAATTTACTTAAAAACAATGCAGATTCTAGGCTACACTCTTTGCTACTGCAATGCAAAAAAGTCATTATAGCTTGGACTGTGATAATTAAGATATTAAATTTATTATACTGATAGAAATAATTGTTGTGTAGTACTATTGTTTTACAAACACATTGAACGCTTAAAATTAGATTGCCAATGTTGATATGGAGTAATGTTTTAGTCAATGTATAATAAACTTATTTAAATAACAATGGTTATTAATTATTTATCGTAGTAACTTATATGGGTTTTTAAGCGTAGATTTAGTGTTATATATTTTTTATTTTATAAAGTAGATTACCAGTTTGAAATGTCATAATTTTTTAGTTGGAATATAATAAACTTAGCTTAAATAACAATGATTATTAATTTATTTATCGTAATAACTTATATTAGTATTTACATGTAGATTTAGACATGTTTTTATTTATTTTTTATAACAGCGAAGGTTGATAATTTGGATAATCAAAAGTTTTGCTTTATATTATGTTTGTTAGTGACATACGTGCATAATTCTGCTACAAAACTTAAGAAATACTTTGCATTAATCTTTCATAATAATAAATGTAGGTAATTTAAATACAAATTTATGGGCTATTTTGATTTATGGTTCATAAATGACAGATGTGCATAATTTAGAGAGTTTTAATTTCAGCTTTCGCATGGCCATGAAAATTGCGTCCTCTTTATTTATTTATATATATAATAAAGCAGTCTGGCGGCATACATGTATCTTGTTTGCCGGCGTGGATAGATTGCCTCTGATTTTTTATTGAGATATTAACTTTCTATCAGATTTTTATTAATAGATTAATTAATCAAGACGTGATGGGGTACTGCAGATATTACATTTAATTAATACATTGCCAAGTGAATGTGATCAGAGTCATCTAATATTTTATATTAATTATAATAGTAGACGTCAGTAAAATGATTTTTTTGATATTTTAATAATATAGATATTTTGTTTTATTAATATAGATATACGGCATGTTCGATGGTTGGTTTCTGGACTGATAAGTCCGGCTAATGCCGGTTTGTTGTGAGAGAAAAATACTGTTGGCTGACTGATAAGCCCTGGCTGGAACCAACAAACGAACAGACTGACTGTGATAACTAATTGTGAACGTGGTAGCAGATATTTTGTGAACCATGTGACGTGATTAATATGACTCAACTGATATTTTACTAACTATCGTTAGTTCTTAGGTACGACCCATCAAGATCTTCTCCAAACGGTTAATTCTTTTTCCTCCTAAAAATTGATTTTTTATTTATAATGGTAAAGATGGGTAATTTTCTGGAAAACAAAATAGATACGATGGTTATAGATGGCTAGAGTTATTGATTTGATTAATGTGAGAATTTCTAGCATTTATCTTTTTTTAGCGCATCTGGTGAGGATTAACGTGGAGGCTCCGTTGGGGCCTCTAATTAGTAATAGTAATATGGTATTTATTATAAAAATATATCTTACAACTGATTTAATGGTATTTATTAAATATCAATATCTTTTCTTTATATATATATATTTATATTTAAACAACTTGGTTCTAAAAAATAATACTGCCTTCGTCCCAAAATAAATATAAGTATCACTTTTCGAGAAGTCAGAACTTTTTCAATTTGACTAGGAATATAAAAATAATATCAATATTTATAAGCCTCACTTTTCCCGATCTTTTTTAGAAGTCTTGCTTTTCCCAAAATAAATGCACATCTCTAAATAAGTCTATCATGAAAGTACATATCATGCATGCTCAATCTAATAATACCCAAGTCTTACTTCACGATAGACTACCCGTTAAGTGAGACTTGAACTTATTTTGAGACGGATGGTTATTTTAAGACAAAGCAATCATGTAAGCACAGAGAGTGCTAGTCCTAAAATAAGTGTGCATTACATTTATCAAGGAGTCGAACTTTTTTCTAAATTTGATTGTATTGTGTCTCCAAATAATTTTGTTATGAAAGTATATTACATAACCAATCTAATGACATTTATTATACAACATAAATAATATTTTTTTCTATATAGTTTTACTTCTCAAATGTGAGATGTGCGCTTATTTTGAGACGAGGGAGTATAACTTTGGAAATTTCGAATGCACGAAACCCATCACATCATATAACATGCACGCCTGACGTCTGCGTGGACTGGATTCTCGACTGTTCTCTTCACGTGACAAGGCATCATCGATCGACGACGGAGGAAAAGATGGAGAAGCTGGTGCGAGAGAGCAGTGCACAGGGGCATAGGAGTATGGTGCTGGTGCAGTACTTGTTTTCCTGCTACCATCGTCCCAGTGCGTGGACCGTGGAGCTCCAGCTCCGGCGCAACGCATCCAGACGTTGTACTGCACGAGAAGTCAGGCGCTGTAGACGGAGACGACAGACAGGCCTGCCTATAGCTCGGCGCGGTCGGCGGCGGCGCTGCTGGTTCAAAAGAGCAAAGGCAACCACGGCCGGGCAGCGCAGTTTGTCAACCCTGCCTGAGTGCCTGTGTACAAATACCCATGATGCTCTTCCGTCCCGGCGACCTTTCAAGTTTTCAGAGACCGGCTAGCCGGGTACGGTGGTTAGTACGCAGTACCGGTGTCCCGTAGCAGCTGCTCTTCCGTCCGCGCGTTGGAAAACCGTGAAGAAGAGAGGAAATTTCCGTTTTCAGACGAGCGCGCGGCGGGGCGGGGGTCGTCGTCGTCATCAACGCATGGTGCAGAAGACTGCATGCGGAGAGAAGGAGGTGGTGCTCTGCTCTCTGTCGAAAGTAAAACGCACCATCAGCCACAGTGCGCTTGATCGAGCTTGCCGCAACTTGTGCTTTGCTCCTGTGCTCTGATCCGCATCGCACCGCCCCATCCAGATTCACCGTCGTGGTGCGTGGCAGCTCGTGCCGTGAAACCTGTGCCACCGCCGCCGGGGCCCAAGTCCAGCAGTGATAGTGGGAGGCGCCGATGTGGCCATGCACTGATGATGCACAACGAAAACGAACGCCCGCATGTGACGAGGTGACTGATGATGGCACGGGGGTAAAAACTGAAAACTGAATCTGAATCTGAATGAAAAAGTGAAAAGCGCATGCATGCCGAGGTAGTGGAGTCGGCAATGAGTTCGCCTTTGGTTCGATCGTCCACTCCAGTCCACTGTCCACTGTGCGTCCGTGTCTGCAGTCCAGGCAAGCACCCCGGGCCGTAAGCTGGCCTGCGGCTGTGGCTTTTTAGTTCAAAAATCTCCTGTGTTTTTCGTAGTAGTATACAAACTGCGGTCTGAAATGAACACCTGACAAGCGAGTGCGCTGTGGCCGGGGACGGGCCAGGGTCAACAGCGCAGGCCGGCCACCGGGCGAAGCGAAGGGGCTGCTGCTGGGCTTCGTGAAAGAACTCGCTCACCGTATGGGCTGCGGGACCCTGGGCCTAACCGTCTTTCTGTTTGCTGCTACGGGGACGCCGGCCGTCGACGGCCGCCGGGTAGGAGGAGAGACTGTGGGCCGGCCGTTTCCGCGAGCTGTCATTGCACCCCATTTGGGTCTTCTCATACTAGTTGGAACGCCAGATTTTTTTTTTCCTTCTGTTTCTCGATTTTTCTTCATCTGAAATTAAGTGAAATTACAGCGTTTTAAATGGAGCCCTACGTGTAGGTCACCTTGCACTCCCCAGATGCTTCTTCATCTGAAGAGGAAAACCGTTGAATCCATGGCTCCCTCGCTATGCTAAGTCTACTTTGGAGCTGAATTTGTAACTTGAAAATTTTCGGCGGAGAACGCAGATTTGGGCCCTTCGGTTTTGCTTTTAAAACCTCTTATGCTGAAATGTTGTGAGAGAAAAACACTGTTCGTTCACTGAAAAAATACTGTTAAAGCATTGCTGCAGAACAGGGTGAGTGTTAGCTGGTCTCTGCTTTCGTTCTGCCTGTTCCACGTACAGGCCGGATGTCTTGGTGTTCATCTCAGTTACTTTGCTCACATTAGGCTTGTGGACATCACAAAAGAGGAGCACCGTACAGAAACTCTTCTCATGTCTTGGTGTTTAGATGATGATGAAAACACTCGTGCGTGTTTCCCCCATTTTGGTTGAAGTTGAAATAACGGACAGCTCTGTACATCTTTGAATTGGTTGATACAGGGTAATAATATCCCTTTATCTAAAAATGCCAAATGATGGAGGAATCTGTTAATAAAAAATCCCCTTTTTTCCCCCTTCAAAAAGTTAGAGGAATCTGTTGAGTTAACATCTTGCATACATCTTTCTTACAGAACATGGCTCTCTTACTGCGCAAGTATGTTACAGATATACTGACAGGCACGTCAACGGTCAAAATGACATTCTGGCATCCCAGTATATATAGCACTTTGCAACCTAACAGAACAAATACTACTGCATCACACTAACAATCAGTCAAAAGAACACAACAAGCACCTCACAACCAGCAACAGATATATATAAGCTCCGGACCTAGCTGCTGTACCTGCACAGCACCCTGCATTTGAGCAGCCTGTCCTGGACATAGAACCCAGGCATCACCATGAGTTTCACCTGCGACGACGACGGATGGTTCTGCGACCGCTGCTTGTCCAACAGCACGTCCTCCATGTATGTCTGATCGAACGCCCTCTTCTCCTCGACCCGCAGGATCGTCAGCGGCGGGCTGAAGGAGAACGCCAGCAGGTGGAGCAGCCAGATGCACTTGGACGCCACGAAGAAGCACTGCAGCAGCTGCTCAGCCCACGGCCACGACCAGTTCAGGGTGGACACGATGCAGCTCATCTTCTGGTCGCAGAAGCGGCTGAAGTCCTCACAGTGGTACTTGGTGCCCTTCTTCAGGACCTCGTTCCAGCTCAGGTTGCGCAGCGCGACAAACGAGGCAAAGCTCTCCTGCTGGTCCTGCTTAGGGTCGAGGCACTTGGGCGACCCGTTCTTCTGGAATGTGCAGTTCTCAAAGTCTTGGTACATCGCTTGGTTCATCAGAGCTTCGAGGTGGTACAGCACTAGTTTCGGGTGCTTGTCACTGAGCGTGATTTGATACGGTTGTAGGAGTAAATTTAGCTTATCTGATAGTCCGTTGTCAGCATCTTCAACCTGCTGTATCAATACCTTGCAGAACTGTTTTATGGAAAGACGGGCCTCGGATACTATCTGCAAAAACCCTTCTACCATAACTTCATGGCTCACGGGCAAGGGATTGTCTCTGCTCCTAGTAACTGATCTAGTCGATCTCTTTGAGTGAGATTGCATGTTCTTTGCGCTCGTCGCTTGCTTTAGAGCCTTCTTCAATTCCGAACAGTACGCTTCCAGGTTCACTAGCTTGGTAGTCAGTTCTCCTAGTGATAGTTTCATCTCTGATACTTCTTGCAGGGCAGCGTCCCTGTGCTCATTGGCCTCAACAACCTCTTTCTTCAGGGACTCCAGTGAGAACACACCCCAGTCCTTCAGAAGCTGTGACATGTTCTCACATTCGATGGTGTTCGGTGACATGTCTGATTTCGGTTTCCTCTTTGACTTCGGTAAGAGCCAGGAGAGAATATGTGGCCCTTTGTGTCTTGTCCAGGAGAAGGCAGCAGGGTGGTAATTTGACAGCGGCGCGGTGCTATTGAGGTTCTTCAAGGACTTGGCATCAGCTTCAGTGTCCCGACTGATGGTTGCAGGCTTGCAGGTATTACATGTTGTAACGGCCTTAAATTCAGTTAAGTCTGTCAACCTGCTGGCTGACCTAATCAAACTGTCAGCAGAGATGGCGGGTTGAAGGAGTGACGGATGGTTTCTGCATGCCTTTCTGTTACGCAGGTGCTCATTAGATGAAGAGAAATGGAGCTCGCTGTTTGACGAAGAGAAGGTGTTGTGATTGTCAAAATCTGAGAATGCCACCTCGTCTTCTAGGCCGTCATGGTCCAAACCGATGCCACTCCAGTTCTCGGACATACTCCTGTTATCTTGGCGAATGTAGTTCATTCCACCCAAGGGCTCTTCATCATAAGTCTGGGAATTCATCAAAGAAAGCAGCAAGGTTTATGTTACAATACGGACTGGAACTGAAAGTACAGCAGCATGAAGCAAAACATGCACGATCCATGGGAAAATGTTGTACCAGCAGGCAACACATTTAACACAACCATTTAATGTTTCATGATTTCAGTGGAAACATGATACTACCATACTACTGATCAATTGATTCTTCACGTTTGCGAGTGTCGGTCAGTACTCTACTTGTATGCTGGCATCCCCAGCCAGTCCTGGGCCCTTGTGGTCATACTCTCATGCAGTACGCTTTCTTAAAAGCAGGGTTCTACCTATTTCTAAAAGTAAAAACCAATTGATTATGCACATCAGTTTGGAGTCCAGGAGACCCTGAATTTTTATATTTTCATGTAATGATGTTCCACTATGTAGCAAAACAACCTTTACAGACAACCTGACAGCTTAAACAAAGTTCAGTCTAATGCTGAGGAAATGGCTCATTATATTCCGGCAAAGCGTATGAGTAGGATGCTCTTAGATGTTGGCAGAAAACAATTTAGGTAGCAAAATCATTCCTCGGCAACAATAAGTACAAAAAACGACAAGAGATTTATCTTCACAAATCCTTGATTTTTCTCTATCTAGTTGGGAGCTGTAGATCCACCAGGTTGATCGACCTACAGCTTTGCTTCAGTAAAATGAAATGCAATCAAGTACCACTTATACTGTTCTAGGTTTCTTGCTTGACTCCAACCAAACTCCATCTATTGAACTGGAATCTACGCCTAGAAATCCAAGCTAACCTCTGAAAAGAACATTGTCGCAACAAGAAGAACAAGCGACTCCATCACTGACTTAGCATCAAACAGCCACAAAATCTACGAAAACATTAGCAGGGAAAGGCAGGACACGCGAATCCAGCAGCAAAGCAGGCACCTTCCACACACACAAACATTTGCTTCCGGTACCAAGAAACAAACAAACAAACAAACGTGGCTGCAAGAAGTTTCAGAGGCTCTCCAGTCCACTTACCGGGGCAAACACGGGGTAGTCCTCGGCGGCGGCGGCGGGCAGGAGGCCCGGCCTGGTGAGCGCCGGCGACGCGGCCGGCGGCAGGCGGATGACGGCGGGGCTGCGGCTGGCGCTGGCGTAGGTCCCGGCATTGGAGGCGCCGCCGCCGCCGCCCTGGAAGAGCGCGGCGTGGAGCGCGCGTAGCTCGGCGGCCTTGGCGACGGCGGCCTGGATGTCCTGGCGCGAGGTCGGGAGCGCCGGCGGGAGGTAGGCGGCAGAGGAGGAGGACGCGGAGGCGGTGGCGTCCGCGGCCATGGCGCCGGCGCGGGTCAAAGGCCGCGCCTTTGGCTGGTGGCTTGGGCTGCGCTGCAGTTACTGCGGCTGGCCGGACGGAGGCGTGGAGTGGAGGCGGGGGGCTCTCGTCATTGGGGGGCTGGAAATTAATGTAGTGGAGACTGAGACACTGTCACACTGTGGATGGTGGATGGCGTGCCGCAGGCGAAAGGAATAATGGCCCTTGTTCTTCTGTTGGTTGGCTGTTTTGTTTTAAGTCCTTTGTTCTATTATTATTACTTGCAGAGAGGCTTGTAGGGAATGAAATCTCATGCTCGCTCACCGGGGCCTTGTTTAGATGCATCTAAATTCTAAGTTTTTTCACTCTCTCTCCATTACATTAATTTTTAGCCGTTTGCATAGAGTATTAAATGTAGGTAAAAAAATAACTAATTACATAGTTCAGTTAGAAATCACGAGATGAATCTTTTGAGCCTAGTTGGTTCACAATTGGACAATATTTACCACATAAAACGAAAGTGATACTATTTATCGGGTTTAAAAAAATTGCAAAGTGAACAAAGCCCGGCTGCAGGTTGTGAGGGGAGGGGACGATTGTGTCAGCGACCTATTGTACCGGCTTCAGTTAGATAGCGATTAGCGATAGGATCAGCTCCTTCGGTTGGTTAGCCCTTGTTTAAGTTTGGGTGAATTTGGATTTTGGGGCTATTGTAGCACGTTCGTTTTTATTTGGCAAATAGTGTTCAAACATGGACTAATTAGACTCAAAACGTTCGTCTCGCAATTTCCTATCAAACTGTGTAATTAGTTTTTATTTTCGTCTACATTTAATGCTCCATACACGGACCGCAAACATTCGATGTGACAGATACTATAACAACTTTTTAGACTTTGGGGTCCAACTAAACAAAGCGTTAGTTGCAAGTCAAATTCTGGCATCTAGGCGTCGGTTGGTTAGTTGCAAGTCAAATTCTGGCATCAGCGACCTATTGCTTGGCTAGATCCGGCAACATGTATTATGTATATGTACTTATACACTGTCATACCTATGAACTCCAGCGTTCTTCTCTCTTACAGATTGTGTGTAGTACTAAACGTAGTAACGCTTTTCTCTGCTTTGTTTGATCCGTGTGATTCAGGCTGCTGCTAATGATAATGAAAAGGGCCAGCAGCGGATTTAAAGATGTGTAGCCTTGTACGTATAGGATGGAGCACATGGTATCGATGGTCAATGGAAGAGTGCATCTTAAGGCAGGGGGCCATCATCAAACGCCCTGTTCATTTGGGTCTGTTTGGCTTATAAGACATGGCTGAAAGTACTGTTGGCTGGTTTGGTGTGAGAGAAAAATATTATTCATTGACTGATAAGCCAAATACGACTAAGCGAACAGGCCGAAAACCCTTCCAGTCTGCCAATGGCATGCTATTTCTTTAGAGCAAATATAAGAAGATGATGTAAAGGGGGTCATCATAAAAAATGTCGCATCATATTTGTACTAACATAGAATAGAGAGTATAAGAGAGAGCAAAGAAGGCGCAACATGTAAAACTTATAGGCAGCTAATGTATAAGCTCCAAGAAATTTTGCGAGGGAATGAAAATGGACCAGGTAAGTGGGGCTTTAGAGAAGCTAGAGAGATGATATGATAATGGCATATACCCCCTTTGTTTATGAATAAATCAATTCCTTTAGTCGTTTTAAGTCAAACATTTTCATGTTTGACCGAATTTATAGAGATGAGCGTTAATAGTTATGATACCAAAATAAGTATTGTATAAAAAAAATATCTATTATGGTGTAGTATCTAAATATACTAATTTGGTGTCATAATTGTTGGTGCTCTTTTATATAAATCTAGTCAAGATTAAAAGTTTTTTTTTGGAACCTAAGTAAGGTTAAAAGTGTCTAACTTAAAATGGCTATAGAAAAAATAATAATTCAATCAGGGACACAGAGAGTACAACTATCAATTGTTTTTATCATTAGCTAGTACGTAGCAGTAATTGTTATTAAAAGGCTCCAAGAACGAATGCGGTATCAAAGAATTCTCCTGTTGCTGCATCATAGTATATCAGAGTTATTACTGGTGCACCCCCCACCACCTCGGGTGGATCTCCAGTACGTGATGCAGTCCCCGTGCCCCGTAGCACGCCGGCCCCACGTCCGTCCGGTGCGCAATGGCAACTATCGTTTGTCAATTGTCATCGACACCGCCAGCCAGCAGCCAGCAGCCCGGAGCAGCGACCAGCGAGCGAGGAGGGGGCGGAGCGGGCAGGCCGTTGGCTTTGGAAGAAGAAGACGAACGCAATCTATCTAATCCACGTTAGTTACGATCGTGATCAGACATGTCACGAATGAAGTTAAGCAGAGCTTATTATCCTATCCAATCATGTACGGCATGTGTGTGGCTACTGTTGGTTCACAAGGCATTTGTACGTACGTACGTGTATGCTTTTCAACTGAATATCCAGGAAGTATACTGTACCTTCGTTGTCTTGTTCTCGCGTAGTACGTACTTCCCCAGTATAAACTAGTGCAACTAGTAGTACGTCTCGTGGCGTACACGTCGCATCGGGCGGGCGGGCGCACACACGTGACACGCCACACGGCAGCGTGCTGTGCTGTGCTGTGTGTCTCTCTGACTACTGTGTGGTGTACTGCTGGTGTGGTAGCTACACGACCATCGACCACAACAGTTCCGAAACTGCCATATGCTGAAGCTGAGTTGTTACGAGAGGAAGATACTGTTATTTTGCTGTAACGGCTAATAAGTCAAGCAGGGCCGTTCGAAAGTTTCTTCTTCCTCCTCTTTTTGTAAAACCACTCCAGCTTGGAAAGCTCTTGTACTCTGAGGCAGCGTTTGGTTGATGGAACCAAATCATGCATGTACAGGTACATCCTGGATAACCATGTGGGGCCCAGCTGTCCCAACGTTTGGTTGCTGGATTGAACAATCCGATCCATGACAGAATTAACCAGAATCGATCCATGCGCTGAAAAAGAGCGAACAACGTCATCCAAGACAAGACTATCGCTGCCCCTGGGAATAAAGAGATATTTGCTGGGAAAGTTATCAGACAGGAGCATTGAAGAATTTTAATTTATGAAGCCATGTTTCTAGAAGAACGGTGGAGTACTACGTTTTGCTGCGTGCGTATTCACTTTGTCAGATCCAATCATTTGTATTGCAAATTGTAGATGGAGGATTGACTTTTTAACACGTCAACCCATGCGACCAACCAAACATGATCTTGTACCAAATCGTATCATTCCATACTACCATCCAAACAAAAAAAAATATGTGTCGTGTCATCCTATTCAAGTAATCAAACAATCAACATGTACCATTTTATCCAAAATTACCTCATCCATAATCTAGGGGACTGTACTGTACCGGCCTGTCAGCACAACGCTTTTCATTCGCTTTGTTAAATAAATACGTATGGTACTCCTATTCCTAATATATACGAGTACTGCGTAGTAACTGAGAGCAGCTTTTGTTGTTTGCTGAAGGTGTTCGTTCGTTGATAAGGAGGACGCCCCACGTCCGTCGTCGTCCGGAGTGCTGCGTCTGCTGTCTGCAGTTGCAACTGTCGTTTGTCATCGACCACCGCCAGCTGCCGGGCTGGAGGACGGTGCCCATGCCTCGCGCGGCCCCACACCAGCTGACCTGACCAGCAGCAGCGACTGCCGAGTGCCGACTGATGGGGCCCCCGCCTCCCGCCGCGCGCTGTGCCTGTGCGTGTCTCTTCACTTGCGTGGGGGGAGTCCCAGTCACTCTCACCAATCTGTCTCCGGGAAAAGGGGGAAAAAAAACCCCGCTAGTACGAGCTCATTTGGATAGGGGCATACCCGCGGGGATCCCACCTGATCCGCGGGTGGAGAGAGGCCCGCGGCGCTGCTCCCCGTCGTGATCCACGGCACCATTTGGAAACCTCGTGGGTCAAAATAAGTCCGTGCCTTTTCCACCCTAACCCTGTCAATCCGCGCGGCTTAGAATAAATGCCTCCGAGGTCGTGTTGTTTCTTCCCGGTCGGTCGCCGCTCCCTCCTCGCTCGCTACTCCCGTCCCGTGTCACGTCGCGTCGCCCAGGAAAGCATGGCGGCTAGGGTATGAGCGCCGCCGTCTCCATCCATGAGCCAGCTGTCGTCGCCCCAGGCCCTCGTCGTGTCGCCGCCGCCGCAACTCCTGGATCCTACTCCGACTTTGATTCGGGCGGATCCTGCTCCGACTTGGATCGGGCACTTCTTGGATGGCGGCTATGGTTCGAGCTCTACCCTCTCCTACTCGTGCTCCTCCAATCTCTGCTCCTTCTGTTCACAGGCCATTTGTTCTTTTCGTCTTCCTCGCAGAGCGCCACTATGGAGCCTAGGGTTTGAACGCCGCCGGTCGCTGCTCCGCCCCACATCCACCAGCTGCCACACTCGTTGAGCTGCCGCCTGCACATTCTACATCCCCGGCCAGCCATCTCGCTCATGGTCTCTAGCTACAGGTTCGACGCCTCCTCCTCTGTTCTACGTTTCTTTTAGATCTATTTGGTGTTCATGAATTGTGTGGTGATCTGGTGGTTGTTGCCACAACTGGTGCTCTTTTTATTGTTCTATGTTTTTTCTTAGGTGCAATCCTATCAATTTGTTTCCTTCACTTGTTAGCATGCAGATTGGTTGCTTCTTTTTAGTTGGACATTAGGTTAATGACTCCAGCTCAGCTTGAGGTTGTCAAACTAGCTTGCTTGCTTTTTTTGGCTCAAGGTTTCCTCTGTTTTTGTTTTTTCGAGATAGCGTTTAGAGTGTCGGTAGTAACTAACCAAAGGAGAGTTCGTAAAGCTCAAATTGCAGACTTCGTTTTCGGTCGATTCCAGAGATTTCTTTGTAGTAGCTGTTTGTTTTCCATCGGTTGCTAGCTGTCTTAGCTCTTAAGTGCTTCATGTGCAGCTTCTAAATATTCAGGCTTTTTAGAATAGTATTCATAGTTCAGTTCAGTGAGTGCTTTTCGATTTGTTTGGGTAGCCTGTTAGCAG